CAGGTGCCGGCCACTGCAGCAGGAGCATCCAAGAGCAGCAGACAGAAGAGAAGAAGAGTGGAAGGGGTGATGGAAGGGCTTGTCCCTCCTGATCCTTCAGCTTCTAATGGATATGATGGATATGGGATGTAATACCCTATGGTGAATCCTGGGGTCAGTTATTCTGCCCACTCCACCCTGCAGGTGCAGGGTGCTCTCTGCCCCCCTCCGTGTGGGATACAAACTCAGCAGTGGCCTTGGTCTGCATACCGATCCCTGGCAGTAACTCTAAACATGAAGTCTTATCACTGCTAAAGCCAGATAGTTTATGAAAACATTGCTAACTTTAGACAAAGCAGTTAATTAGAAGAGCTTTAGCTGAAAAGTAAAATCACTGAGCAGAACCAGCTCTGTTTACCCCAAACCAGGACAAGTGTACTTGTTCTGAATCAAGTGTACTTTTAGACCACTGGAATAGGTTGCCCAGAGACGTGGTGGAGGCCCCATCCCTGGAGACATTCAAGATCAGGCTGGATAAAGCTCTGAGTAGCTTGATCTAGTTGGAAATGTCCCTGCTTATGGCGGTGGGGTTTGACTAGATGAACTTTGGAGGTCCCTTCCAGCCCAGACATTCTATGATTCTATGATTCTTGCTGCTTTTTATTTTTGAAAGAAAGATTATCTCCGACTGTGGCTTGACACATAGTTAAGTTTTGTCTCTGAGGAGCTGAGGCAGAGAGATGTTATTTGTATCTGACATACATAATAGGAATTCTTGTGTGTGAAGAGTTTTGGCATTTGCACGTTTGAAGGGTTATGTCATGGTCTCTCTCCCCTCACTCCCTTCTGCTTTATTAAGCATTAGTTACAAATACACATTTGTTTTATTTTTCCATAGGTGTGACTTGCATCTTCCTACCAGTGATAGTTTTAGCCAGGTATCGAACCCACTATTAAAGTACATGAAGACTTAAAATCTTTTAGGTCACAGTAGTTAGGCCTGCTTAAACTTACCCAAGATGTAGTCCAGAGAGAGCTTTCACTCACTGGTTCTTTAAGCAATGAAAAGGAGGGTACTAAAAAACCAAAGTTGCCACAGAAAATTGCTTCATTGCTTGGCAGGGTCGGGAGTAGTACTGGCTTCCAGAACGTGGTATTTAAAAACTGGTTGTTACTCTTTCCTCAAAATTATCAGCAGGCAAATAACTTTCCCTTGGCTTGCCACTGATGGAAAACTACAGTCTCAATTTTCTGGTTTTCACCATGCTTGCTTAATCAAAACAATGTTACACAGTTACCTGTTGAATACAGTGATAGATGTCAGTAGTTATTAATGCTAATAGTTGCTGTCTTTTTCAGAAAGGTCATGGTGAAGGGACAGACATCTCTGTTCTCATTGTTTAAAACAGTCTGCAGGTGCAGAAAGCCACTTGTGCTTTCTCTCGTTTCTGTGGTTTATCAGCTTCACCTGCCTGCTGTGGTGTGTGGTGGCTGGGCAAGGCCCTGTGCTTTGGAGCTGGCTTTCCATCAGAGGGGTTCTACCTCAGTGTTCATGCAGAAAACACCTGCAAATACCCTTCTTGCAGATAATGTATGTAGCCTTTGAAGCATTGTTTCCCAACTCATCCTTTAATGATCTCTGGTATTTCTCTGTTCTTGTTTTATTGCCAGTATCTCTGTTTCCCAGTCTGATCAATGTCTCTCTTTTGAGGCCAATTATCTTACCTTAAGTTGATGTTTGGATCAGGACCACCTTTGTAAGACTGACTTCTTCAGCCAGTTCCCGTATCCTATAGCTGTTCAATAGCAAGCACAAACATTCTTTCACATGTGATGAAGCCTCTTTAATTCTATAATGGTTGCCAGCAGTGTACTCTTACTGCACATGAATACACCATCCTAATGCAATTGCTTGGAAGAACTGATTTATATTCTTATTCCATGTCTAACACAGTTGAGAGTTCTGGATTGCTTGGAATGAGTGGAATGAGCAGCTCTCTGCTAAAATGGAAGAAGATAGGTAGGCTGCTGGGTTTGGAACCAGGGAACTCTCATGGAAATTTGAGGAATAAGGTGGTGTTCTGTCCCGGTTAGAAGGCAGAACTGTGTCCCACCTCCCTTATCCCTCAGTTTCCCAGATAAAGAGGTAAATAAGGAAGGCAGGGGTAATGAAAACCTTGCACCAAATTGAAGATTAACAAAATGAAATATATTATTTAACAGGGAACAGAAAGGAAGAAGGGAAGGGGTTTAACAGGGTACAGAAAGGAAGAAGGGTAGGGGTTTAACAGGGAAGGGGGGTTGTAGGAACAACAAGGCAAGGAAGATTAAACTTCCAAATATACAAAACCCAAATGCTATGCTGAGGCTCCCCGGTGCTGGATCTCGCTGGATTGAGGTGGATTGAAGCTGGATGCACAATCCTTGGACGTGGATGGAGGCAGGGAAGAGTCTGTGGATCAGGCCCAGGTCTCAAAGATGGCCACGGCCACGGGTAGCACAGGGAGCAGCAGAGCAGCGGTTAGAACCAAGGAACTCTCATTGAAATTTGAAGAATAAAGTGGATTTTTTTTTTTTAATCTACTTTAAACAAACCCAAGCATTCAGAAAGTGAGTGAAATTTAGAGTGAATGCTCAGATGAAAAGCTAAGAGGAATAATTTTTGATCTTACCACATGACTGAAATAATGTGGCATCCTTGCTATGTTGGTCCTTCCTGTGTGCTGAATTGCATATAAAAATGCCCCATCCTGCATGCAGCTGTAGTGCCACCATGCTTTTGTGGGGCTCAGTGAGGCAGTGTGACAACCTTGGCATTCTTTGGGAAGAGTGGTGTCTAGTTAGTCTAGCTCTACTTCTTGGAGAATTCTTTAGCTTCCTTTTTTATTAAAATATTATTCTACAACCTTTCCATGTACTTATATTTTTATATAGTATAACTTTTAGCACAGAAATGTGGAGAAAATAGAGGGGAAGAGCAGTTGCATGATGGGGACTGTGACCTGCAGAAAAACAGGGTCCTTCCCTCACCTCCCAGGTTACTATGAGCATACTACTAAACACAGTGTAAGTAATGCACAGGAAAGGATAGATGATTTTGACAGTTGCCAAGTGCTTATAGTTATAATAGCTTTAGAGATGGACAAAGGGCTTTCAGAAGTTCTAAAAACTTCTGATACTCTGATAAATTGTAGTTTTTGTTGGTAACAGGTTCAGAAGGTGTCACTCTCACTCCACACTCTAATCTTCTTTTTTCCCCATCCAAAGTCTCTTCCCAGGTATCTCCAGAGTCAGATGGTAACATGAGTTGGTAACACTATTGATAGTTCTGAGGTCTGTGCCTCCTGCCAGGAGAAAGGGTGTGACTGTAGGGTCGTTGGCTATCCCAACAGTTGGTTTCTTTTAACTTTTCTCTGCTGTGTTTTTGACACAAATATATGAAAGAATTTAAGATAAGTAACATCTGAAATCAGGTAAATTCTGTCAGAAATATCTCCAAAAGATCTTAGCCAAATAGTCATGATTCAAGTTGTGATGATCAGACTGTAAGGTCCTTGACCTCAAACTTCTAAGCTGGCTTCTCAAACTAAGAACATTGCAGGAGTTTGGGGGCTGTAGAGTATTGGCAAATGTGGTGTTTTGTTGTGGATAAATTATCCAGGTTTTCAGTGGAAACACAGGTGCATTGGGAAAAGATTTGTATGATACTGGCTCTTTTCCAGCCAAGAAAGATAACGTTTTAGCTGGGTGTGCAGCTATTGTGAGTGACACTGGAGTGGAGCTTGCTGATGCAGTTAAGATTTTGACTGTACTTGTTCTGTCAGGGTTTTCTCAGAACGTTAAACTGTTGACTGTCCAGCACATAACAGAGTCATGGAATGGTTTGGAAGGGACTTTTAAAGGTCATCTAGTCCAGTGAGGAGAGACATCTTCAACTAGATCAGGTTGTTCAGAGCCCCATCCAACCTGACCGTCCCTGAATATTTACAGGGATGGGACAGCTCCCACCTTCCTGGGCAACCTGTGCCTCATTGTACAGAATTTCCTGTACCTAGTCTAGATCTCCTCTCTTTTTAAAACCATTACTCCCTATCCTGTTGCAACAGGCCCTGCTAGAAATATTGTCCCCATCTTTCTTATAAGTCCCCTTCAAGTACTGAAAGGCCACAATAGTCTCCCCAGATCCTTCTCTTCTCCAGGCTGAACAACCCCAAGTCTCTCAGCCTTTCTTCATGGGAGAGGTGTTCCAGCCCTCTGATCGTTTTTGTGGCCTCCTCTGGACCTGCTTGAGCAGATCCATGTCTGTCTTGTGTTGAGAATGAATAGTCCTCAAGTGGTGGAGAGACTGGGGTTCGAGAGGCTAAAAGGGTGGTAAACATCTCCCTAACATCACTTCTAACCTGAATTGCTGGGAGGTCCTTTGAAGGCAGCTTCACAAGTGCTGCAGGGGGTGTAGATGGTGCTGCCAGGCTGCTGGGGCGCTGCGAGGTGCACGTCCAAGCACGGTCTGTGATGGTGCCCAGCTTCTTTGCTCTCAACCCTATTCTTACCTTTCCTCTCTGGAATTGTAGCCATCCTCCAGCAGAAGACTGGATAGGGTTCAACTGACTCGTGCTTCTCTGTGCTTCAGCAAGATGACGTTTGCTGTTAATTGCTAGGGGCAGAGTGGGGAGGCTCTGTGGGTGAGGTAAGGCTGCACATTCTGCTAGACCATTGGATCTGCACCATGCTAGCAGCAATGGTAAGGCCTGGGAAAGGAGAGGTCTGCCTGCTGCCCCAAGTGATGACCACTGCCTATGTAGCACAGGAGTGCTGAGCAGAAGCTGTGCTTGTTCTGATCCCAGCTGTAATTAAGTCAAATTTACTTCAAAATGTAGTGTTTCTCACAGTACATTTATTTTTGTCACATATATTTTTTTTATTCAAGATATATAGTATTTCTCCCTATGCTTTCCATACAATATTAGCAAATGTTGTCCTCTTTTAACTAAGTTAACAGGCATGCAGCGTAACTGATTTACTTGCTCATTGAAGTGCTTGGATTCAGCTTGTGAACCATTTTTTATCAATAATATTTTTTTTATTAACAGACACACATTGCTCTGATTACATGTCTGTGGTGGTGTGATTGTTTCATGTTAAACAGCTTTAATTGAGGCTGTCATTTGGGAGGAAGGGAAACTGGGACGTGTTGTTGAAGTTTGTATTTGCCAGAAGAGCAGTGGCTGCTTTTCAGTTTGGTGCTGCAAAGTCTGAAGTGTCCAGCTGAGAGTGCACTTACACCACGTTACAAAATGCAGTGTAAAGATGTACAAACCAATTCAGCACCTTGTGTTTGGTAGCACCGAGTTCTTCAGAAGCTAATTTAACCTTTTGGAATTTTTATGTAAACTTGATTTAGATAGAGAATTCTGTTACAGTCACTGGGTTGTTTTGTTAGGTAGCTTCATACCTCTGCAGCTTTACACTGTACAGGCATAACACCAGAAATGGTATGGAGAGAAATTCAGTATCCTACAGTTCATAACAGAATCAAAGGCTGTGGATGAGAAGTGAAAAATTTCTTGCCTCTGAGGTGATTGGTATTCACCCTCTGGTTTCCTTCCAGAGATGGCCTGCATTCATTATTTACTTGTGATTAGCTTTTTCAGGTATGTGGAAGGTCTTCATCCCTCTCTTCTGAGGGAATACATTCTTTTAAAACAACTTAGATTTTCAGGCAGTTACCTGTAAAAGTAAAAATCAGCTGGAGCTTTTTGAGTCAGATGGTATGATAATGAATGTTAGCTCTGAAACCTCTGGTCTGCCCAGAGCTGTTAAACCAACCCAACTGTGTTTGAGCAAAGTAAGATTGGAACAAGGCTTGTTTATCAGCAGGAAACAGATACTTAAATCCTGACTTCCTTGATGTCTTTTTCTGAGAGGCCAGAGAATTCCCACCCAGGCTGAAAACCCAAACATCACTAGTAAGCTTTCTCCACAGACAGATTCAGCATGCTTTGCTGTTTATTTTTTTGTTAAGTAGTTACTGGAATTATTGTGTTGAGTTCCTCAGTTATTCTAGAAAAGATATTTGCTGTGGGAGGTGGTTTCGTGCATGTTTTTTGGGGGTGTGTGTGTTTTTTTTTTTTTTAACTCAGTCTTCCTTCCTCACCTTCAGTGGGTCCTTTGTAAGTGGTGATTGTGCTGTTGGAGGTGTGCAGAATGCATAGGGGTTTTTCTCTTGTGAGTGAGGACTACCTGGCTTCTGACCTCCTTGCAGAAGACTGACCTGCTGAGTTGTGATAACTTGCTGAAGCCCATAAGTGAGCAGCCTTCTGCTAAAGGGTTAGCACAGATTTGGCCCAGTGCTGACAAGAAGTGCAGGAAGCAGGGAACCTCTAACTGTATAATAAACCATCTTATAATGTCAGTTGGTGTCACCTGCTTGTTTGTATCCAAAATTCTGCTTGGCCTGGTTTCTCCAGATATGTGGGAATGAAATAATTCACCTTTTCAACAAGTCTACCCTAGTGCTGCTGTTCTTCTTCACAGGAATTCTTCTTAAACTTCTTGCAGTGTGTAGAAGTACTTGAATAACTGTAACCTGAGGAGGGTGTAACCTCTTAGCTTCTAACCTTGGAATCATAAAATCTTCCCAGTGTTACTGCTGACTCTGTAGTTGCATGAGTTGATCTTGGATGTATTCGAAAAGTTATGCTCAGGTGTGTTCTGAAATCATTTGTTGTGGTAGCATTGTCCACTTCATGAACTATACTTGAAGTTTAATTTGCTTTGAATAGAATTATTGCTTTCAGTGTCTTTGCCAGCTTCATTACGTCCAGGTAATATTTTCTGATGACATCTTTTTAATTGCTATTTCATCACTCTGGTTGGCTGTCTTTTTTTTTTTTTTTTCCCCTCCCATTAGCAATTTTGTTTTCCCATGTGTGGTCCGTGACAGCTTTGAGGCAGGGGATTGAGATGTTCTTGTGTATGGGAGGAGCAGGAAGAATCTCCTACTTAATTTTATGACCAACTATGGTTTCTGGTTCGTATTTATAAGTGCAGCTTCTTTCCTCTGTCCTTGTCTTTAGTTTGGGAAGTGTTTCAGTAATGTGGGGATGTGTGCATTTTAAGTACACCTGCCTTGTTATGCCCTCTTTCATACTGTAGATAATCTGAAGCTGTGAAGAAAGGAGTTTTTTTTCTGATGGTTTTTATGATGTGCAGAGACTTTTTTTTGTGAATAAGCAAACAACTTTCTTCTTGCTTTACAAGTTACAAACAAGCTTTTTGTTATCTGTTGCTTAAAATCCAAGCATTTCCTTCTGCACCTTGCAAGTGTGAACACTTATTTTATGCATGTCTTTGACTCTTCAGATCTCTGTGCAGGCGTCCTGGCTGAAAACAGTGATTCAAGGATTCTTTCATTACTTGCACAGTCTTGGTCTGTAACATCAAAAACTATTGCTGAGAGATAATCCTTCGACCTGTGTATAATGAACTCTTGATCTTGGTTGAGTTCCTTGTGGACATGTGTCCAAGGCATGTTAAGTGGTATTGGTGAGCACTAATTGGCACATGGGTTTGCAGTTGCAGCCGTATCCAAGGGCACATGTGCAGTCTTGTAATATTTTTCTGATTATGAAGTGCATTTTTCTGCCACCAGTGTTATGTTGTAGGGCTCCTGTCTGAATCCTCCCCCATTTAGACTGACTTCTGTGTTAGTCTGTGACCCTGCAACACTATCAGAGTTAAGGATGTGACATTCTAAAGCTCGTATTCAGAATCCAAGTACAAGGCCAGGCTAAGAGGCTTTTGGTTCTGCTCTGAAAACTAAGTAATAGCACGCAAGGAGGTGCAGACAAGAAGGGTGTGAGGCATTGTACCTTCCTCTCTGCTGCACTCCTCTTTGGAGATGTGGTACTTTTTTGAAGAATCATTGGACTTGCTGATTGCTATGTTTAGAAGTTTAACTCCTAAATAAAAAAAATGAGTTCTGGATAACTTTAGAGCTTTTGGGAATACACGAATGGTAATGTGATCAGGTTAGAGCCCTATTTGTTGTCAGAGTTAAGACAGCTTTCTATGAGCATCCCTGGGAAACTTCTGGATGTAGTGTCTTATTTCTGCTGCTCTGCACATGTAGGCCACATGGTCCTGATTTTAATGGAATTCTTGTCTTAAGTAAGAACATTCTACATAAAGCTCTTCTTTAAAAGGGAAAAAAGGAAGTTGTAGACCATGGACCTCCCAAGCAAGCTGATCAACACTTAAGGTGTTTTGTGTAGCTTTTCAGCTTCCTGATGATATTAAGATCCAGTCACTTCTGCAGCATTGGCTTTTGGGAAACTCACTTGAAGGTGGATATAAAGAATGTGGTTTTAATTTCTGCACAGAATGTGGTGCTCTCAGGGGGATCCACGATGTTCAGGGACTTTGGACGACGGCTGCAAAGGGATTTGAAAAGAGTGGTGGATGCGAGATTGCGACTTAGCGAGGAACTCAGTGGGGGCCGGATAAAAGTAAGTAAGAATTTCAAGTTCTGTTAATTATGTGAGTAGTGAAAGAAATTAAGTTCAGAGTTTTCATTTCACCAGTGAAAAAGCAGCATTGCAAAATGAGTAGTACATATGCATGTGTTGTTAAACGTGTTGGTAGCCTTGCAATGCATGACATGCCTTTACAGGAATCTTAAAGTTACTATGAGCAGTCTCTAAGGGCAGTTCTGGTTTCCATTCTGGGATGTATGTGGTCTTAGCAGTAGGCAAGAGGGATTGAACTGTTGTGTCTTTCACAAAAAGTTTTATGGCTTGGTCTCCTAGGGAACATGGGAAACTGAGTAATAAGTGTGAGACAGTGATGTTAACGAAGGGTTGAAGATGTCTGGGTCTGAGCATTTTCAGTTTGTAAGGATCTTGCCAGAAAAATGTAAGCCAACTAAATATAAACTGTTCTTCTTAGCCCAAACCAGTTGAAGTTCAAGTGATAACACATCATATGCAGCGTTATGCAGTTTGGTTTGGTGGTTCCATGCTGGCTTCAACAGTAAGTTTATCAAAATTGTTCTTTTTTAAATTTTTTTTTTTACTGCATGTTGCCTTCTGGCCATATTTGATCTGAGTACTAAGTTTTAAACCTTTTCATTGTGACAGCATAAACTGTGTCACATTCTAGAATCCTTACCCAACTTTTATCTGGGTAAAATTTGTACAGGAGAAGTAGGAGCTTTACCCGAGTAAGGAGATCATGTTATGATACAATTCTAAAGTAGTTTTTATACCAAAGTGCTAGAGATTGGTTAGTACTTCAGGAATACAGAATGTAAATCAATGATCTTAAACTGGAGAGAGAAGCAAATACAGGAAAATGGGAGCAATTCCTGTCTCCAAAGTGGGATTCTTTATTGCTGTGTTTAAAAGTAGTTTTCTGTCCAGATAAGCTTTTAATTGTATTTGTATCCTAACATTTATAGTTTTATTTTATTTCAAAAATGTACTACTATGTCATGAAGTTGCAATCTACAGAAATGTTAAGGCATTAGTTTAATTGTTTTTTCTACTGGATATATTCTTATGCTTTTGAGGGGGTTTGTTTTATATTTTCATAGCCAGAATTTTTCCAAGTATGTCACACCAAGAAAGACTATGAAGAGTATGGCCCTAGTATTTGTCGTCATAATCCTGTTTTTGGAGTCATGTCATAACGCTCATCTAATGGAAGCAAGATCACTGATACCTTGCTGGTGAAGAAACTCATGTAAAGCAGAGGAAGGCAGTAGATACTGTAAATACTGAAGGAAGATGTTGTTATCTCTGGGATGCATTTGGATCACCACCGTGCACTGAAGCACAACTCACAGCCCCAAGTCATTTCAGTAAAAGCCATTTCTCTGCTGACTACTTCAAAGCCTATCCTTCTTTCTTCCTAAATGTGAGGTAATTGAATATAGGTAAGTCTCAGTTTAGGAGATTGTGCAAATACTACTGAAACTGACTCTAGAAGAATAAGGCAGTGTTTTACTGCTTGTGGAAGGATTTACCCCTTTCCCACTTTGCCCTGATTCTGCAATCAAATCTTTTGCAACGGAGCACTGAATACCACATTGCCTTCAGGGGAGTTGGGATGGATGCAGGTACCTGCCCCAAAGGATTAGATTGCAGGATTAGGACTGCACTTTGTAAATGTAGGTTTTTTCATATCATTTTGTATTTTATGATATTGGTAGGGTAAATTGGTGAGGAGTTCTAAGCCCGGAGAGCTGTCAATGTCATGGAGTGAGGTCAGGCATTTCCAGGTGTGAGGCATGTATTATTGGAGGGGTTTTGTTTTTTTTTTTTTTTTTTTTTTTTTTTTTTTTTTTTTTTTTTTTTTTTAGGAAAAAAAAAGCCATGTATGCTAGAAATTGATTTGTTCTTGTTTGGATGACACAAACTTAAGTGATTTACAGTATTGTATGAAGTTTATTACAGCCACTGTTACCTTGTTTTGAAATTCCTGAAACTGTTTTATAGAAGATGCTTTGTTTTGATGTTGGTGAGTGGTGGATGACACACGGGCCTTGCACCAGTGAAATAAAAGCTGTTAACATCTTTATGAATGTTTGTGGTAGTCCTGATTTACATACACCTCCACAGTATCTCACAAGGTTAGCTTTTCATTTATAGGTCGTTGTACATGAAATCATAGTAACACTGAAATTGGAAGGGACCTCTGGAGATTTTTGGTCCAGACTCTCACTTCGAAGTCTGATCTGGTTGTTCAGGGCCAGTCAAGTTTCAGGTTTCTTTGAATGGTGGTTCCTTAATGTCTCTGGTAACCTGTTCCAGGGATTAAATACCCTGTTATGGGTACGTGTTCTTGTGTTATGTACAGTGTTTAAATTGAGTAGGAAATCCTAATTACTCTCTGTGCTGATACTTCTCTGATCTCTGTCAGCAGAGGTTTTGTAATAGTTTGTGTAGCCCAATAAGAATTTTGGAAGATGCATGAATTTGGTTTTAAGTGGGATGGAGGTGTTGAGACCAAGCAATTACTTGTTCAGCATAGATTAGGAATTAACAAGATGTGACTTTTATGTGTCAAGTGTGGTTCTGTAAAGCTTAGCTTTTAGGAGAAGCGTTGAAGCAGACTTTGCTCAGTCCTCTCACTAAGAGAAGAATGTGTAATTCCCAAGGGTTAGGGTTGGGCTGGCCACTAGACAAATGACAGATACTCTCTGTTTAACCCTCTCTCTTCCCGGAAGGCAAGAGAAAGGGGGAATAAGGGAGAGAGGCTTATGGTTTGGAAAACTATAAAACAGCTTTAATGAAAATAACGATAAAACGAAATAAATACAAACCAAATATCAAACACAACCCCCCGGATGATAGTACCCGTCATCTCTGGCGCTGTGGAGCAGGCACTGGGGAAGTCCCAGACTGGCATATGGGAATTGGATTCAGGAACTAGATTCAGGAACACATGGAAAGAAATTGAAGGCAGGACAGACAGTCCTCCTTGGACACTGGCCATTGAAGAAGAGACTTTGGCCCTTGTGAACCCTCAGCTTTATGGTGAATATGACGAGTGTGGGATGGAATCCCTCAGTGCTTAGTTCAGGGTCACCTGTCCTGTTAAGTGTGGGCTGAAGGACTGGCATGCTCACTTGGTGCTATGAAGTAGAGAATGCTGGGGTTGTAGCATGTTTACATGTGGTGACCTGCAACCAATTTTAACCAGGCAGTGAAATCTCTTGGAGTCAGCAGGAGGTGGTAGTTCTGGCGTAAGGCATAGGCACCCATTATTTTGGGGAAGAAAACTTCTTGGAAAAAGTAAGCAAGATTCATGCTGAAAACAGTGAGGAAATGTGCTCCTTTTCACTGTTCATAAAAACCATCAATGGTAAGAACACTAATACAGGATCTTTGAATGTCCTGAAGCTGAGTTTCCATTCAACTTTTTGGAAGGCTGACCTACATACCACACATGAGTTTAGAAAAAGTCTTTGGGCAGAAGAGTATTCAAGATGAGGTGTGTCAGTGGATAAATAGAAATGTTAGCTCCTTCTGTCTTGCTGGCTCCTGTTGGGCTAGTTTAAGCTTGTTGGCAAGTAAGTTTGCCTTTTCAGTTATATTTTATGGATTCCTTGCAAAAAGTTAATGAATAACTGCAAGGATCTGTGAATAGCAAGTGAAAACGGATTCCTAAACCTGCTGTTTTTAGGCACTCCCATGAGAAGGAGCCGTGCATTAGGTTTGAATCCTCTTGGACAGGGGAAGGAATTGGCCTCAAGAGTCAAAAGGCAGCAGGTATCTGTAACTACAGACAGCAGCAGTTACTAGTGTGCTTCTGCCAAGTGTGATTTCTTAAGGAGTGTCCTCTACATCTAACACATCAGGGCAGACTTCTGGAGCATGGGAAGGGTAATTTGCTGTTCTGTTAGCTGCTGTTGAAGGGGTAGTAGTCCTGTTTTGAACCTGGATCTAAACTGGTCTTGAGTTTTGTATAGTTGGTTCCTCTGATTTGTTGTTGCTTGGGGCTTGACTTGGAGGCTGTATGATGCATACAGTATGACACACCAGTATCATACAGTGGGCTGTAGGTGCCCACTAGAAAAGGGAGTTACCTCTCCCCATCAGCCAATTAGCAGATGATGTGTTTTAGCCTTGATTAGCTTTGACTTGATTCGTGTCAATGCTCTAAAAGTGGAAGGTATTGTTTCCTGCTGCTGATCCAATGAGCCTTTTCCTTTTTTTTTTTTTTTCCAGTAGTTTTAAAGCTTTTCTGAACCTGAAGAGCATTGTGCATATTTTCAGTGTGGTGCTTTCAATTAACTACAATTAGTGAAGTCTTGATGTGAACTGCAGTACTGATCTTTCTGTAAATAATTCATTCTTTATGATCGCTGGGTTCTCTCTCATCTGGAAAATATTACTGTTGTGCCAAACAAGTGTTGGAGATGGAACAAGCAAAAAGCTTATTTAAAACCACCAGGGATAGTAAGCAGAGATATGCAGCCTCCTGTTTAATGGAAGAGTGCTTTGCATAATCTTAAAAAGTGCTGTGTGGTGGCTGTCAGACAGATACACAGAATGGAGACTTAGGTAAGACCACAGCAAAAGAGTAGGCAGCTAACTCATTCTCAGGCACTGGTCATACCTGTGGAAACCCAAGAGCATTTTTGCAAAAGCTAAAGAAAAACCCAAAGTAGCAACTTGTTTGTTTTCTACAAGCTGAATGTATCTGATAGAAGAAAGAGGCAGGATAATACATGTTCACAGCTTGCTTCTCTGGCTGCTTTTGTTCTTGCTGTTTCACGTGTGATGATTCTCCTGCAAGCAGCCAGGGCCTGACCCGAGGTCAGTGGAAAAGTCTCCTCTCTGGCATTAATGATCCTGTAATGTTCTTGGTTCCTTTCCTTGCTGCCACCTACCATGTCAGTCTTGACCATGCTGCATCATTTTGGGCAAGTGAATTAATTTCTGTATGCTTCTTCTTGATTTTTTTCATAGCATTTGTCTGCTCTGATGGAACTGTCAAAACTTAGGTGCAGATGTCTGACGTGGTTACTTTGGCCTCAAAGAGAGTAGCAGAATTATATCCTAGGATGAGACGAGTTGGCCCCAGGATATGTACCTAAAACAGGTTCGTTGACTCATCCTTTGGCAGTTCTTTCTGCATTCCATAGACTATAAAAAATCTGTAATGTCTAGCACAGGTGTTGCATCTACTTTTTAAAGGCTCAAAGTTGTAAGAATAAAATATCCCACCCTGACTTTGGGCTGGACACTCTGGATGGTAGACACCGAAGTGATGTGGTTGAGGAAGTAGGCTCACTGCGAAGGAGAAATGATGTGGTTCACTCTGCTGTACCCGTGAGAAATGGTGAGGGATGAAAGCTGTTCTGCTTTAGCTTCCAAATTACTTTGGGTTTTTTTACCTCAGTGTTATCTAAATGAACAGCCTCTGTGGTCCTGCTTGGATGTTGGCAGCTTTAGTCTTAACTGTGCGAGGCTGTTGTGTGTGAGTCCCTGCCTGCCTGTCCTTAGGGGTGAGGTAAGGGCAGCCCCTGCAGAGCTCAGCTGTCCCAGCAGCTGTGCTGTGCCTGGGGAAGGCCGAGTGCCTCGTGGCTCAGCACGGTGAGGCAGGGGCCTTCTCCTGCACACCAGACCTCCTCACCTTGGTCCAGAGGGAATTCTCTGCTCTACACACGGTGCAGTTTCAGTGGCATTCGTGTCTTGCAGCACTGTCCTGCCAGGCAGATGAAAGGCTCCAGAGCCACCTAAGAGTGTCTGCTGCCTTCAGCTATTGTCGAAGCAGAGGTCAAGCTAAATCAGGATATTTGGATTATTTTCCAACTTTCCTTTTGGTGGAATTGGGAAGAAGAGGGAGCGCGGTAATTCCTCAGGGATTTAAACGAGACTTTAAATCTTTAGCAGGACATTACAATAAAAGCTGTGTTGTACTGAGGAGGGGCATGGGGTTCCTAAGTACCTGTCAATAATTATAAACAGACTCCCTGATACCTCTCCTTCTTCTCTAGTGCTCTTTCCTTTTAAGTTCTCTTTGAGTTCAGCTGATGAACGTAACTAGGTTATATTATTAGTCATTGCTTCCTACCTACATCTAGTTTGAAGTTTGGTGATGTTTTGCCTGTGGTCCTGGAGGCCTGTTACATCTTCCCAGTTGCATCAGCTGTTCTAAAATTAAGATTTTACATTTCCCAACAAACATGGCATCTCGTGTTATAAATCAATATCTAGAAAATCATGAAGGAATTTTTTCCTCACTTCCAATTTGTATCCCTCTGTAATTAGAGCAAGGAAGTGACAGGGCTACCAGTGTTGTGAGCTGTTTTACCCTTTAACTGCCTGGGGGAGACAAGGGGTTGATGTGGATTTGAAAAGTCTGAAAACAGAGGGTGTTTGTAAGGATGATGGCCACCCCACATCTTGAGTTTGCCAGCACGTCTCTTGTGTTTGTGATGCCTGTGCAATCAGGTGCATCTGCACTTTAAGGAGTGCTGCCCTATTATGTCTGTGGTACATCGGTAAATAAAGGAGCAGTGTAGATTAACTGGGAAGCTCATTTCATGAAAAAAAGCAATTTTTCAGCAGTTTGCTGTGCTGTTGTTTTTCTAGCACCCTGCAGGGTGATGACAAGAGAAAAGGAAAAATTGTTCACTGCCTTTGACGAGTGGTAGGTACTGTATATGAAAGAGAGATATTTTAAATGCAAGCCCATATTGCTTGTAATTCTG